CAGTTACGATCCGTTCACGTTAAAAAACATGCGGGATGCAGCTGAGTTCAAGGCAGAATTTCGTGTTGAAAAAAAATGATCTCCACAGGCTTGCCGATGCCTTGCAAATTACAGGAACATTAAAATGCTAACAAGGAACCGTATTCTTAGTTTGGTATTGAAATAATTCCCGGGAAATACTTGCATGTAACAACAACAACAATGGCAACAACTTTATTTCAGTATTCCCACGCAGTGCTTTGCGCTTTCTCCAGTATAGTATGTGGCGCGGTATCTCGGCACACTCACTTGTAAACACTAAAAATTCTTGTTTGAGGATAGACGATTTCTGAATTTTGTCCTCAACGATAGTCCTTTGCATTTCTCTTGGAAGGTTTCCACTTTGCTCAATTAAGCATATTTAAAATCAGGGGCAAAGCCAGCCATTTTTTTCTATTTTAGCCCGATTTGAAGAGGTCCTGAGAAAGCAAGGGAAGAAGGGATTCATTCATTCATTCAGTCGTTCGTTCGTTCTTTCGTTCGTCTCCCTCCCTCCCTCCATCCATCCCTCCATCTATCCATCCATCCATTCAGAGAGTTGTAAAACTTTGGAACTTGAATGTAAACGGTGCTGGTATTGGTTCTGCATGGCGATTTTTTTCAAAAAATTGAGCACTCCTCGTATTATGTATTTGGTTGTTCATTGAAAAAACGTTATTGAATTTTGAAAAGAGTGAAAACGTAAAAAGACCTAACTAAAACAAGAGGATTTCTTGACATTTCAAGAGCTTTTGCTCCTTGAAGATCGGGTCAGTATGGGCTTCGTACCTAGATTTTCTTACTTATTGCCTATGATGTGTTAAGGACTTAGCAGAAAGCCAAGTTATCGCCTAAGCCATAAACAGTTTTCAGAGGGAACATGAAGAACAGCGGGTCATCTTTGCTCAAAAATGTTGTGTCAAATGAGTAATTAGCAGTGATTCGTCAACGAACGGGTTCTTTTAGTTAAAAAAAAAATAACCGTGTCTCAGTCACACCTTGATAAACAGTTTTTGAATTCTTTATAAAGAACTCTGTTACACTCAAGTAATCTCCTAAGGCCAATGGGGACGTGAGTGTCTCTTTAGCACTGCATGTCTCGCTTGTGTGTACTAGAACTCGGGATTCCATCAATATCGACGATCGTTCGTATATATTATTATATTTCAGAAAAACGAGTACTCAGAGAGTAAAATGGCAACTTTCTCAGGTCTTTGTAAGGTCTTCAGCTAGTTCGTCCTTATTATCTTCTAAGGAAGAGACTCTAATTTGTCACAGAAGAAGGATGAGAGGCGGCCCAGTCCAGTTTAGATTTAGCGAGAATACGGCTCTTCCGACTATGAAATTTGAGTTACTCTGTTTGCAAAATAGAATTGCAGAGAGAAGCTAGGTCTAAAGGGACACAGTCAGCTGATGCAGATGCGCATTAGATGCCATTTCTTAGCTGATTTGCATGTTAGAAGACGTGCATGAAACAGAAGTGAGAAGCGTATCCGGAATACTCTAAGCAAACCTTGTAGAGTTGAGCTAGTTACAAGCCGAAATCGTGATTAGAGACCCTAAGCCATATCAGAGCACTCATTTTTTTATATACATACCATTGAGAATTCACCGATGGATTTGTCCAGACATCGACGAATACTTTCGAACGTTAGTAGAGGTGAGAAATTACGCAAAGTCTGAATCATTGTCGAAGGTTCAAGGCCGAGAAAGATTGATTTTCCACGTACACGTAACTACTTACATCGATTTTCCAAATATATAAAATGATTATTTTCTCGCCAGTGTATTTGATTCATTTCTCTTGTTATTTTGGTAAACTAAGGCGATTCCTCCCGCCCGGCTCCTACGCGTGTTCATGTTCCTTTGGATACTCTTTTTAACCAAATATGATAAAATATTGTAAAAGGATGAGTAAAAAAAGAGGTTTTCAGTAAAAGATCGATGATCAAATAAAACAGTAGGCAAGATTGAGCGGATTTCTAGATGTATCGGACGCGTACATTTAATTTCAGGTTGAGATAAACGCTTTTCAAACTTGCAAAACTAGTATCCAGGTCAGCGCGGTCCCATAGCTGAGTGTGTCTCTTTAAATCGATTTTCACATAAAGCAAACTAAAGTAACGAACCATTCAAACGGAATATTTTGTTCGAAATTGCGTTTTACATCGATCAATGCAGAATAAACATAGTTACCTAGAGCATGAAATGAAATATTTTTTTAAGGCATTGGTTAGGGAGCCAAAAAAGTGGTGGCCATGTGAACACATCCGTTTTTTCAAGTACCCACGCTGGAATTCGGGCACGGTGCCGGTGCCCAACTACAATTAAGGACGAGCTCGGGGGTACCAATTAGGCACCGGTAAAAAAATTGTAACTTGACATTTCTTTACCCACGGAGCATTTAAGAGTTCTTAAGAAGTCGTCGAAACGTGTTCGTGCGTTTCAGATCGAAATCGAATTTAGAAGTGTTTATTTTTGAGGAGAGGGAATACCGAAATACACGGAGGAAAACCTCTCGGAGCAAGGACGAGAACCAACAACAAACTCAACCCACATGCATTTATGGGTTCGACGCCAGGATTCGAACCCGGACCATATTGGTGTAGAGGCGAGTGTTCTCACCACTGCGCCAATCCGCATTTTGTTAGTTCTGGAGCAGTCCACTGCTTTGTAGCCGCTGCTAAGCTTAAGTTTCAAACTGGCCACTGACCGAGTTAAGAGTGGCTGTTAGAGAAAACCGGGCAAAATGTTAAAAATGTCAACGGAAGGGGGTCAACAGAATAATTTCATACTAACATCATAGATAGGTCTGGTGGAGTTGTGGTCAAATATACCAAACATAGGTTCTTCACTGCCCTTGTATTAGACATACGAGCATCACTTTATTCAACCCCCTCGGATGCCATTTTTATAAGCAAATTTTTACCATTTTCTGAAACTCACAGAACCCGCAAAATTTAACGAGCGAAGTTTATTTTTTGCATGCGATAAAACACACCACAGAACTACTTTCTAAAACCGTAAGATTTGCTAAGTAGCCACGGACAAGACTAAAATTTTCTTATTTTTTTTAACCTCAGTGTCTCGAAACGAGCAAAAAATCGGACATTTTTCTGATTTTTGAATTGATTTACAGCGCACAACTAAGACGACAGAACAACTCTGACAGCCCAGTTGCATTCTAATATCATCCATGTAACCAAAACACTAATAATCATTTTGGACCATTGAAACAGGAAGAAATTAGAAAACTCACATTTCTTATAGTTTCGCTGAGCTTTTTCTTGCAAACAGGCCGATCCCTTTGCGTTTGTTTCAAGTCCTCTTCGTGAATTTTCTTTCATATTTCGCTGTAAAGTATGTTCAACAGCTGGAAGAAATATAAAAAAGCTCGAAATACTGCCTAGGTTACATTTTTAAAGGGTAAAAAGTGCTGAACAATAGGATGAAACTAGAAAATAACAAAGCGACACCATCTTGAAAATTCAGCACTCAGGAGGGACTGGCACCAGTAGCTGCCTTGTCCACAAGGATGAATTACCAAATGGCTAAAAAACAAAAAAACAAACAAACCGGCTTATCAGCGACCTATTCCAGTCCTATTTCTTCTTCAATTACTACTTTTAGTTAAATTTGGCTTGTTTTGTGTTGTCGTTTTTTTATGGCGGAGTGATGTGGTGTGGTGAACAGGTGACCAATTGGCATTACTTTATTCAGTCTTCATTTGCTCTTCATTCACCTCATTTTGACTTATCCCGTATAAGTCTTAGCGTTTCTTTGGACTCCTTATTGTATTATCTATCTTCAACCACCGTCCATGTCCGAAGGTCCACTCATCTCCTGTTCATGATTTCCTGATGCACTTTTCATAGTCCTGAAGGCTTCGCCCGAAACACTACTAGCAGAGCTTGGGGGAAGTGATTGACTAGTTATAAGCTTCATGGGTGGGGAGGCTGAGTAGTTGCTCCTTGGACTTGGCTGTTTAGAGACTCAGTACAGGCACCTTGTAACAGTTAAGAGTCAGGACCCTAATCTGACTAACTGTCAGTCACTAAAAATTTATCGATGTACGTTTGAGCAACTTGTTGTTCTGAGTGAGTTTTGATGTCATTGAGCTTAAGTAATTTGTATTTATAACTTTTGAAAAGAGATTGAGCGGTTTTCTATTTAATAAAAGTGAACTTATCCAGTAATTTGCAGTGACACCTAAATCTGTGGAAAACTGTAAATACGTATATGCCATTTACATCTGTAACTCAATGCGATATTCTAATTCCATGGTCTAATTCGTGTGAATTTCATGGAACTTCAAGGAGAGCAATGGAATTGGATGCAGTAGTTTCAATGGAATTTCATGGACCTTTTCCATTGAATTCCATTGAAATTGATGTCCTTATCCTCCATGGAATGCGATGGAAATTTTTTCCACGGCAATCGAGGGAATTCCATGGAGGTATTTCTTACGGTATGATACCAAGTTATTTAAAGGGGCTATGTCACGCTATTTTCTACCTTTTTATAAAGCTAAAGCTTGTGTTCGAATCAATTGAACTCCAAGAATAAGACTATATTTAGGCATTAAAACCGTTTCCTGTCCATGGATGACAAGAATGATTGAAACTTGAAAAATGGCCAGCCTTTTCAATGCAAAAAATTACCAAAAAATAATTATGGCTAGTGCTCACTGATAAATTTTGTTTGGGACCTTCTCCATAACTCTAAAGGACTTTTTTTATAAGTGTATAGGAACTAAGTAATGACTTCAGCAAGTAATATTCCTAAAAACAGCAATATCCTCCAGACAAACCCCCTTTAACACCAGGATAAATTGACTACTATATGATTAAAACGCCCGATCACTGTTGTAGGAAGTCAAATCTCTTTCTTTTTTGTACGACCTTGACGTGACGAGTGTTTAACCTTTTCCAAAACGAAATGTGTTATTATTCTCTTGTCTTAAATCGTCAGCGTGTCCAAATATGGCAATCCTGACAGGGACTTCAGGCATCATCACAAGTCCTTTTTACCCGGGAAATTATCGTAATAACCACGATTGCAGCTGGAAAATCATGGCAAGCACAGGAAATCAAGTCAAGTTGGTCATTCAAGACATGGACATAGAAAGTGGGGTTAACTGTTTCTACGACTATATACAAATTCAAAATGCTGTCATATATGGTAGTGTTGTGCTTCCTGGGCGTTTATGTGGTTCACTCACCAGCAATTCGACTTTTTCTTCTTACAACGAAACCTTGATTGTACGTTTTGTTACGGATGGTTCTAAAACAGCCCGTGGATTTAAAGCAAGATACACTGTTATCCCTGGTAAGTAGGAAGAATTATGTTTTGCAGCGCTTTGCACTTTATCCAGTATAGTATGTTGCGCGGTATCTCGGCACAATCGCTTGTAAACACTAGAAATTCTTGTCTGAGCATAGACGATTTCTGAATTTTGTCGTCAAAGATAGTGGTTTTTATTTCTCTTGAAAGGTTTCCACTTTGCTCAATTAAGCATATTTAAAATCAGGGGCATACCCAGCCATTTTTTCCTTTTAAGCCCGATTTGAAGAGGTCCTGAGAAAGCGAGGGAGGAGAGATTCATTCATTCATTCAGTCCTTCGTTCGTTCGTTCGTCCGTTCGTTAGTTTGTCCCTCCCTCCCTCCCTCCCTCCATCCATCCATCCATCCATCCATTCATCTATCCATCTATCCATGCATCCATCCATTCATTCAGAGAGTTGTAAAACTTTGGAACTTGAATGTAAACCGTGCTGGTATTGGTTCTGCATGGCGATAAAAAAAAAAAAAAAGATTGAACACTCCTAGTATTATGTATTTGGTTGTTCATTGAAAAAACGTTATTGAATTTTGAAGAGAGTGAAAACATAAAAATACCTAATTAAAACAAGTGGATTTCTTGACATTTCAAGAGCTTTTGCTCCTTGAAGATCGGGTCAGTATGCGCTTCGTACCTAGATTTTCTTACTTATTGCCTATAATGTGTTGAGGACTTAGTAGAAAGCCTAGTTATCGCCTAAGCCATAAACAGTTTTCAGAGGGAACATGAAGAACAGCGGGTCATCTTTGCTCAAAAATGTTGTGTCAAATGAGTAATTAGCAGTGATTCGTCAACGAACGGGTCTTTTAGTCAAAAAAAAGTAGCCGTGTCACAGTCACACCTTGATAAACAGTTTTTTAATTCTTTATAAAGAACTTTGTTACACTCAAGTACATCTCCTAAGGTCAATAGGGACGTGAGTGTCTCTTTAGCACTGCATGTCTCGCTTGTGTGCACTAGATCTAGGGATTCCATCAATATCGACGATCGTGAGTATATATTATTATATCTCAGAAAAACGAGTACACAGAGAGTAAAATGGCAACTTTCTCAGCTCTTTGTAAGGTCTTCAGTTGTTTCGTCCTTTGTATCTTCTAACGAAGAGATTCTAATTTGTCACAGAAGAAGGATGAGAGGCAGCCCGGTTCAGTTTAGTTTTAGCGAGAATACGGCTCTTCCGACTATGAAATTTGAGTTACTCTGTTTGCAAAATAGAATTGCAGAGAGAAGCTAGTTCTTAAAGGGACACAGTCAGCTGATGCAGATGCGCATTAGATGCCATTTCTTAGCTGATTTGCATGTTAGAAGACGCGCATGAAACAGAAGTGAGAAGCGTATCCGGAATACTCTAAGCAAACCTTGTAGAGTTGAGCTAGTTACAAGCCGAAATCGTGATTACCCTAAGCCATATCAGAGCACTCATTTTCATACCATTGAGAATTCACCGATGGATTTGTCCAGACATCGACGAATACTTTCCAACGTTAGTAGAGGTGAGAAATTACGCAAAGTCTGAATCATTGTCGAAGGTTCAAGGCCGAGAAAGATTGATTTTCCACGTACACGTAACTACTTACATCGATTTTCCAAATATGTAAAATGATTATTTGCTCGCCAGTGTATTTGATTCATTTCTCTTGTTATTTTGGTAAACGAAGGCGATTCCTCCCGCCCGGCTCCTACGCGTGTCCATGTTCCTTTGGATACTGTTTTTAACCAAATATGATAAAATATTGTAAATGGATGAGTAAAAAAAGAGGTTTTCAGTAAAAGATCGAGGATCGAATAAAACAGTAGGCAAGATTGAGCGGATTTCTAGATGTATCCGACGCGTACATTTAATTTCAGGTTGAGATAAACGCTTTTCAAACTTGCAAAACTAGTGTTCAGGTCAGCGCGGTCCCATAGCTGACTGTGTCTCTTTAAATCGATTTTCAAGTAAAGCAAACTAAAGTAACGAACCATTTAAATGGAATATTTTGTTCGAAATTGCGTTTTACATCGATCAATGCAGAATAAACATAGTTACCCAGAGCATGAAATGAAATATTTTTTTTAAGGCATTGGCTAAGGAGCCAAAAAAAGTGGTGGCCATGTGAACACATCCGTTTTTTCAAGTACCCACGCTGGAATTCGGGCACGGTGCCGGTGCCCGAGTACAAATAAGGACGAGCTCGGGGTACAAATTAGGCACCGGTAAAAAAATTGTAACTTAACATTTCTTTACCCACGGAGCATTTAGGAGTTCTTAAGAAGAAAAGAAGAAATGGAATTTGGAAGTGTTTATTTTTGAGGAGAGGGAAAACCGAAATACACGGAGGAAAACCTCTCGGAGCAAGGACGAGAACCAACAACAAAGTCAACCCACATGCATGTATGGGGTCGACTCCACGATTAGAACCCGAACCATATTGGTGGGAGGCGAGTGTTCTCACCACTGCGCCACTCCGCATTTTTGTTAGTTCTGGAGCAGTCCACTGCTTTGTTGTCGCTGCTAAGCTTAAGTTTCAAACTACCACTGACCGAGTTAAGAGTGGTTGTCAGAGAAAACCGAGCAAAATGTCAAAAATGTCAACAGAAGGGGGTCAACAGAACAATTTCATACTAATATCATAGATAGGTCTGGTGGAGTAATGGACAAATATACCAAACATAGGTTCTTCACTGCCCTTCTATTAGAGATACCAGCATCACTTTATTCGACCCCCTCGGACGCCATTTTTATAAGCAAATTTTCACCATTTTCTGAAACTCACAGAACCCGCAAAATTTAACGAGCAAAGTTTACTTTTTGCATGCGATACAACACACCACAGAACTACTTTCTAAAACCATAAGATTTGTTAAGTAGCCACGGACAAGACTAAAATTTTCTTATTTTATCTTACCTAAACTCAGTGTCTGGAAATGAGCAAAAAATCGGGCATTTTCGAATTGATTTACAGCGCACAACTAAAACGACAGAACAACTCTGACAGCCAAATTGCAGTCTAATATCATCCATGTAACCAAAACACTAATAATCATTTTGGGCCATTGAAACAGGAAAAAATCAGAAAACTCACATTTCTTATAGTTTCCAAGCTTTTTTTTGCAAACAGGCCGATCCCTTCGCGTTTAAGTCCTCTTCGTGAATTTTCTTTTCATATTTCGCTGTAAATTATGTTCAACAACTGGAGGAAATATCAAAAAGCTCGAAATACTGCCTAGGTTACATTTTTAAAGGGCAAAAAGTGCTGAACGATAGGATGAAACTAGAAAATAACAAAGCGACACCATCTTAAAAATTCAGCACTCAGGAGGGACTGGCACTAGTAGCTGCCTTGTCCACAAGGATGAATTACCAAATGGCTAAAAAACGCACAAAAAAACCTGCTTATCAGCGACCTATTACAGTCCTATTTTTTCTTCAATTACTACTTTTAGTTAAATTTAGCTTGTTTTGTGTTGTCGTTTTTTTTATGGCGGAGTGATGGGGTGTGGTGAACAGGTGACCAATTGGTATTACTTTATTCGGTCTTCATTTCCTCTTCATTCACCTCATTTTGACTTATCCCGTATAAGTCTTAGCGTTTCTTTGGACTCCTTATTGTATTATCTATCTTCAACCACCGTCCATGTCCGAAGGTCCACTCATCTCCTGTTCATGATTTCCTGATGCACTTTTCATAGTCCTGAAGGCTTCGCCCAAAACACTACTAGCAGAGCTTGGGGGAAGTGATTGACTAGTTATAAACTTCATGGGTGGGGAGGCTGAGTAGTTGCTCCTTGGACTTGGCTGTCTAGAGACTCAGTACAGGCACCTTGTAACAGTTAAGAGTCAGGGCCCTAATCTGACTAACTGTCAGTCACTAAACATTTATCTATGTACGTTTGAGCAACTTGTTGTCCTGAGTGAGTTTTGATTTCATTGAGCTTAAGTAATTTGTATTTATAACTTTTGAAAAGAGATTGAGCGGTTTTCTATTTAATAAAAGTGACCTTATCCAGTAATTTGCAGTGACACCTAAATCTGTGGAAAACTGTAAATACGTATATGCCATTTACATCTGTAACTCAATGCGATATTCTAATTCCATGGTCTAATTCGTGTGAATTTCATGGAACTCCATGGAGATCAATGGAATTGGATGCAGTAGTTTCAATGGAATTTCATGGACCTTTTCCATTGAATTCCATTGAAATTGATGTCCTTATCCCCCATGGAATGCGATGGAAATTTTTTCCACGGCAATCGAGGGAATTCCATGGAGGTATTTCTTACGGTATGATACCAAGTTATTTAAAGGGGCTATGTCACGCTATTTTCTACCTTTTTATAAAGCTAAAGCGTGTTTTCGAATCAATTGAACTCCAAGAATAAGACTATGTTTAGGCATTAAAACCGTTTCCTGTCCATGGATGGCAAGAATGATTGAAACTTGAAAAATGGCCAGCCTTTTCAATGCAAAAAATTACCAAAAAATAATTATGGCTAGTGCTCACTGATAAATTTTGTTTGGGACCTTCTCCATAACTCTAAAGGGCATTTTGTATAAGTGTATAGGAACTAAGTAATGACTTCAGCAAGTAATATTCCTAAAAACAGCAATATCCTCCAGACAAACCCCCTTTAACACCAGGATAAATTGACTACTATATGATTAAAACGCCCGATCACTGTTGTGGGAAGTCAAATCTCTTTATTTTTTCCACGACCTTGACGTGGCGAGTGTTTCACCTTTTCCAAAACGAAATGTGTTATTATTCTCTTGTCTTAAATCGTCAGCGTGTCCAAATATGGCAATCCTGACAGGGACTTCAGGCATCATCACAAGTCCTTTTTACCCGGGAAATTATCGTAATAACCACAATTGCAGCTGGAAAATCATGGCAAGCACAGGAAATCAAGTCAAGTTGGTCATTCAAGACATGGACATAGAAAGTGGGGTTAACTGTCGCTACGACTACATACAAATTCAAAATGCTGTCATATATGGTAGTGGTGTGCTTCCTGGGCGTTTATGTGGTTCACTCACCAGCAGTTCGACTTTTTCTTCTTACCACGAAACCTTGATTGTACGTTTTGTTACGGATGGTTCTAAAACAGCCCGTGGATTTAAAGCAAGATACACTGTTATCCCTGGTAAGTAGGAAGAATTATGTTTTGCAGCGCTTTGCACTTTATCCAGTATAGTATGTTGCGCGGTATCTCGCCACAATCGCTTGTAAACACTAGAAATTCTTGTCTGAGCATAGACGATTTCTGAATTTTGTCGTCAAAGATAGTACTTTACATTTCTCTTGAAAGGTTTCCACTTTGTTCAATTAAGCATATTTAAAATCAGGGGCAAAGCCAGACATTTTTTTCTATTTTAGCCCGATTTGAAGAGGTCCTGAGAAAGCAAGGGAAGAAGGGATTCATTCATTCATTCAGTCGTTCGTTCGTTCGTTCGTTTGTCCCTCCCTCCCTCCCTCCCTCCCTCCCTCCATCCATCCATCCATTCATTCATTCAGAGAGTTGTAAAACTTTAAAACTTGACTGTAAACGGTGCTGGTATTGGTTCTGCATGGCGATAAAAATAAAATAATAATAATAATAATAATAATAATATTAATAATAATAATAATAATAATAATAATAATAATAAAGATTGAGAACTCCTAGTATTATGTATTTGGTTGTTTATTGAAAAAACGTTATTGCATTTTGAAAAGAGTGAAAACGTACAAAGACCTAACTAAATCAAGTGGATTTCTTGACATTTCAAGTGCTTTTGCTCCTTGAAGATCGGGTCAGTATGGGCTTCGTACCTAGATTTTCTTACTTATTGCCTATGATGCGTTGAGGACTTAGTAGAACGCCAAGTTATCGCCTAAGTCATAAACAGTTTTCAGAGGGAACATGAAGAACAGCGGGTCATCTTTGCTCAAATATGTTGTGTCAAATGAGTAATTAGCAGTGATTCGTCAACGAACGGCTTCTTTAGTTAAAAAAAATAATAACCGTGTCACAGTCACACCTTGATAAACAGTTTTTTAATTCTTTATAAATAACTCTGTTACACTCAAGTACATCTCCTAAGGTCAATGGGGACGTGAGTGTCTCTTTAGCACTGCATGTCTCGCTTGTGTGTACTAGAACTTGGGATTCCATCAATATCGATGATCGTGCGTATATATTATTATATCTTAGAAAAACGAGTACTCAGAGAGTAAAATGGCAACTTTCTCAGGTCTTTGTAAGGTCTTCAGTTGATTCGTCCTTATTATCTTGTAAGGAAGAGATTCTAATTTGTCACAGAAGAAGGATGAGAGGCAGCCCGGTTCAGTTTAGATTTAGCGAGAATACGGCTCTTCCGACTATGAAATTTGAGTTACTCTGTTTGCAAAATAGAATTGCAGAGCGAACCTAGTTCTTAAAGGGACACAGTCAGCTGATGCAGATGCGCATTAGATGCCATTTCTTAGCTGATTTGCATGTTAGAGGACGCGCATAAAACAGAAGTGAGAAGCGTATCCGGAATACTCTAAGCAAACCTTGTAGAGTTGAACTAGCTACAAGCTGAAATCGTGATTAGAGACCCTCAGCCATATCAGAGCACTCATTTTTTATATATATATATATACCAATGAGAATTCACCGATGGATTTGTCCAGACATCGACGAATACTTTCGAACGTTAGTAGAGGTGAGAAATTACGCGAAGTCTGATCTGAACATTGTCGAAGGTTCAAGGCCGAGAAAGATTGATTTTCCACGTACACGTAACTACTTACATCGATTTTCCAAATATATAAAATGATTATTTGCTCGCCAGTGTATTTGATTCATTTCTCTTGTTATTTTGGTAAACGAAGGCGATTCCTCCCGCCCGGCTCCTACGCGTGTTCATGTTCCTTTGGATACTGTTTTTAACCAAATATGATAAAATATTGTAAAAGGATGAGTAAAAAAAGAGGTTTTCAGTAAAAGATCGAGGACCGAATAAAACAGTAGGCAAGACTGAGCGGATTTTTAGATGTATCCGACGCGTACATTTAATTTCAGGTTGCGATAAACGCTTTTCAAACTTGCAAAACTAGTGTCCAGGTCAGCGCGGTCCCATAGCTGACTGTGTCTCTTTAAATCGATTTTCAAGTAAAGCAAACTAAAGTAACGAACCATTTAAATGGAATATTTTGTTCGAAATTGCGTTTTACATCGATCAATGCAGAATAAACATAGTTACCTAGAGCATGAAATGAAATATTTTTTTTTAAGGCATTGGCTAAGGAGCCAAAAAAAGTGGTGGCCATGTGAACACACCCATTCTTATTTAAGTACCCACGTTGGAATTCGGGCACCACGGTGCCGGTGCCCGAGTACAAGGACGAGCTCAGGTACAAATTAGGCACCGGTAAAAAAATTGTAACTTAACATTTCTTTACCCACGGAGCATTTAGGAGTTCTTAAGAAGTCGTCGAAACGTGTCCGTGCGTACCAGATCGAAATGGAATTTGGAAGTGTTTATTTTTGAGGAGAGAGAAAACCGAAATACACGGAGAAAAACCTCTCGGAGCAAGGACGAGAACCAACAACAAACTCAACCCACATGCATGTACGGGGTCGACGCCAGGATTCGAACCCGGACCACATTGATGGGAGGCGAGTGTTCTCAACACTGCGCCACTCCGCATTTTTGTTAGTTCTGGAGCAGTCCACTGCTTTGTAGCTGCTGCTAAGCTTAAGTTTCAAACTGGCCACTGACCGAGTTTTAAAATTACAGCGTCTTGTCAAACAAATATATCTCTAAGCATCATATCAAACGTTACAAAAAACAAAAATGAACTTTGAAGAACCGTTAGCGGCTAACAATTCAGTGTAAAGCCGTTTCAATCTTCTTCAAGTTACTTTGCTCATCCGTTTCTCCTTTTGTGTTTCCTGTGTTATCCATATCGACAATTTTTCATGTTTCTTTTTTTTTTTAAAGATTTTTTGAGCGGTTTATTTTATGTTTTACTCAGTTTGGTGATGGTTCCCACGGTTTGAATTTTAATTAATTTAGTGACACAGCTCCTTTAACTATTCCTTTGTGATCAGATACTTCAATCTTTTCTTTTCTATTTCATTGCAAAATTCGTTCCACAGTTAATAAACCCAGGAGTATTGTGGTTTACATATCTGTTGGTGCTGCTTTCGCTGTGCTGCTGTTGGGTGCTGCTATTTTCATCTGGTGCTACCGGAAAAGACGAAAAAAGGAGGTTTATGGGTTTGTAAAGTTCTACGTGCTTACGCATACAAACAGGAGCCCATGACCCAGAGCGAGCAACTTCCATGCGCTTTTGTGACGGCGTTTTCACGGACCAGTTTATTTTTAGAAAGCTTTTGGACGAATGTTGAATATTTTTTTTAAATTTCACAAAACCAGTTAGCAAAACCTACTGACCTAAAAATGATATTTTCGGCTTTTTAGTTTTCTTTTTTGATATCTTATACTTCGAATGGGCTCACAGATATGGTGAAGATTCTATTTTCGCAGGAAAAAGTGCCCTAAAATGTGTCTTAAAATAAACTGGTCCGTTAAAACGCGGTGACATAGGCCTAGTATAGGAGTTGCTCTCTCCGGGTTATGGGCTCCCGATAAAAACATGCTAAAATTACGACAGCTATGTTTACGTATTAAATGTAGTACCTTATTGATACTTAATTTCTAGGGTACTTGAATTCGAGATTTTGGCGAGACAGTACTTCGCGGGGTTTTAATTTCGCGATTTTTCTACAGTCGCGAAAAACACGAAATTTAAATCTCGTTCCCTGATCTCAATCTGTCTTACGCTGAACCCTTGGCCGTGGGAAATCGGGGTACGAGAGGAGCTGATTGCAAAAGAAAGAGTGTTTTATTGTCTTCCTTTTTTTTCAGATCAAAGCGATCGATCAATCCCCTGGACCGGTGGGAAATTCTTCGCGAGCAAATAGAATACGACGGCGAGCTGGGGCGAGGAGCGTTCGGTGTGGTTTACAAAGCAATGCTTTGGGAAAGAGTTGGGATAGAGGTGTTTAGCACAGAGATTTCAAAAAGGAAACTGTTATCCAGCAAGACGGAGCCTCGGGTGGTTGCTGTCAAGGTTTTACTTGGTGAGACTAAGAACGAAATTAATGCAAGACCATACAAATAATAGTATTGAAATGTTTTCATTTTCTCGTTATATTACCAGCTCTAGGCAGGTGTTTCGGAATTACTACTTATGCCCTAGCTGCAAGAACCGAGTTACGACATTTGTAAAGGAAAAACTTTTATTTTGAAGCCAAAGCTCTGGAATCGATGCTTATTACGACGCACAACATTATTCGAGTGATTTGTTATATAGATGAAAATTTTGAAGCTGGAAATTCATTAAACCTGGCAGAATGGCGGTCGTCGGTCAACATTCGCGGGTAACAGTCCACTGTTACCCTCTGACCTCATAGATTTTGCAATATTGCGCGCTGAGAAATTTTGGCGGGAAGCAGTTTCATTGCTAGATGTCCTTGACCACGAAGTAACCCAATGAGAGCGCGCCCTGTTAAAAAAAATTCCAGCTATAAAACAATATACACAAAATGTCAGATCCCGAGGGGAACATTTAGTTTTTGTTTTCCCGAGAGTCCTGTTGTTTGAGTCAGGACTCGAGGGAAAGCAAAACTAACTGGTTTCCAGAGGGACCTGACATTAAGTGTTTTGTTATATTGCTAGACTTTCATTTCGACAGCGACAAAAGCATAACTGACCGGAACGAATCAAAACAGTCGACTCGGTTCTTATAAGAACACAAATTTAATTCTCAAACCACTGAATAAATGTTTTGCCAAGTACTTTCCTTATATTATCTGCATCTTTTTCCTCCCCTAGCTGCTGTTTCTCTTCAGGGATAACTTCGAAAATCGTTGTTTTTAGCTCGAGGGTTCATGGTTGTGTTGTGGGCTCTTGTTGTGGGAAAACTGGCAGTGTTTTTCGCGCCTTCTGTCACGCCACTTTCCACCATGCTTTGATCACGTGCTGTAATGTATCTCGAGCAGAGAACTATTGCTCAAATGTATCACAATCGGGATACATTTGATTTTTGTCAAGGCCACGTGGCCAAGAATCAACCAATGGCAGTCCCTGTTTAGTTGAGTGAAAGTCTAGGAATAT